GTAAAGCTCTCTTTCGTTGCGAAATTCGTCTTTTCCGCAACCTCAATTAGCTTTACGTTATGGATCACGTCGTCTATTGCTCCTCTCTCGCCTTTACGTAGTCTGCTTCCTGTACTCGTCGCTGCTTCTTTTCGTCGTCTACTTCCTGTAGTTGTCGCTGCTGCTTTACGTCGTCTTCTTCCTGGTGTTGCTTATTTTTTCGCTGTTGCTGCTTGTCTATCGTCGTCAAAATTTGTCGAAATGCTCGTCTCTTGTATCGTGCTCTCTCTTGATGCTATTCACGTAGCCGATGTCTCTTCTGCCTTTACCTATGCATGTATGTACATAGTATACTTTTATGTACTCGTCGCTGCTTCTCTTTAGGTCGTACTCGTCGCTGCTCTCTAGCTCGTACTCGTCGCAGCTCTTCTTTATTCGTCGTTGCTCTCCTCAAAGCGTTGTTGCTGTGAAATTCGTCGTCTATTTTACCAGCTCTTTATCTGCTCATCCATACATTTTCCAACACGGAAAATTCCTGTTCAGACACGTCTTCAAAGTGTCCAAGAATTTCCACAAGTACGCCGTCGTTGCAATAGCTACCTTTCTTCACTACTGTTTCTATTCACAGGGTCTATTTGTCATCTGCGATCACTTCGTCCAAAAATAATTGCAGAATTCCCTCCAGTTTTGTTTCGTCGAATTCGGTTTCTGCTGTACTGCAGTTCTTCTATTTTAAACGAAAGCTCCCTTAGTTCGGATCTTCATCAGTTTATTCACCGGGTCCCGATGGAATACCAGGCTGCGTGCTCAGGTATTGCGCTGGAGCTCTGTGCAATCCCCTTCTTAAATTTTTTACCTTATCCTTAGAAACCTCAGAATTTCCCCCTATTTGGAAGGAATCATTTATCATTCCTCTACACAAAAAAGGTAGCAAATCGGACGCCAGCAACTATAGAGGAATCTCTAAGTTGTCTGCAATTCCAAAACTTTTCGGGAATGTAATTACTCCCCACTTGCAGCATTTATGCAGATCCGTAATTTCACCATGTCAACATGGTTTTATGACGCGAAGATCGACCACTTCAAATCTCCTTGAACTCACCTCTTTCGTTATGAGAGGTTTCCAACGTAACTTTCAAATCGACGTGATTTACACTGACTTCAGTAAAGCTTTTGACTCGGTTAATCACTCTCTTCTTGTAAGGAAGCTTGACTTAATCGGGTTTCCTGTCGATCTTCTTAAATGGATTTTGAGTTATTTGAGTAACAGAACTCAAAAGGTTCTGTTTAAAAATGCTCTATCCAAATTCCTGAGAGTCACTTCTGGCGCCCCACAAGGTAGCCACCTCGGCCCACTGCTATTTACATTGTTTATCAATGACCTCCCGATGGTTCTAACGAATTCTAGAGTACTTATGTACGCTGATGACGTTAAACTATGCTTGCAGTATAAGGACAGCTCTTGCTAGTCAGACCTGCAATCGGATCTTAACAACTTTCAAGCATGATGTCGTGCTAATTTATTACATCTCAATAGCTCTAAATGCAAGCTGATGACATTTTTACGTGTCAATCCCCAGTTTGCCACTTATATGCTAAATGATTGCGATCTTGATAGAAGATCTCTTGTTGATGATTTAGGGGTTCGCTTAGACCCTAAACTTTCGTTCTCTGAACATATTTCGTGCATGGTTAATAAAGCCAAGGGCATGCTCGGTTTTATTAAGAGGTGGTCGAAGGAATTCGATTCCCCTTATATAACGAAGACCCTTTTTACTTCGTTAGTTCGCCCTATATTGGAGTATGGTTCATGCGTCTGGAGTCCTCAATTCGGAGTCCATATTAACCGTATAGAATCTGTACAAAAGAACTTTTTACTTTTCGCCCTCCGTGGCCTACCTTGGGATGCTGATGAGAGGCTACCGTCCTATTCATTTTATTTTATTTTCTTTTAGGGCAGCTTAACTTCCACGTTCCCCGACTAACATCTAGAACCCTTATCCCTTTAGTAGTAAATCACTGTAGGCGGGAGTTTGAAGTACATGAACCCTTTAGGGTTTTATGTACGGATTACAACCGCCTCTCTGACATTATAATTCGTAGCGATAACCCTTCTATATTAAAAACTTTAATACTTGTAGAGTTAGCTCGTAGTGTAGCACCGTAGTCTAATTTTGCATGCGTTTTTACATTTTATTTTACCTATTTATTTATTATACCCTTGCAGGGTATTATAATTTCAGTCAGAAGTTTGCAACGCAGTGAAGGAGACGTTTCCGACCCTATAAAGTATATATATTCTTGATCAGCATCAACAGCCGAGTCGATCTAGCCATGTCCGTCTTCTATATACTCTCACTGCTATATATGTCGGAACGGGCCGGATCGGACGACTATATCATATAGCTGCCATACAAATTTTCGATAAATTTTTAGAAAAATAATTATAACTTGGCTGTTTTTCAACATTTTTGAATAATTTTTGAGCTATGGCCATTTTATATTATTTCAGAATTTCGGTTTTAATTTTTTGAAAATCGGACGACTATATCATATAGCTGCCATAGGAACGATCGGGAAATTAATAGGAAAAAATTTATAACTTCGTTGTTTTTCAACGTTTTTTCACCTACTCCGGAATATAAGCTTGTTTTATTATTCTAGAATTTTGGTATAAATTTCATAAAAATCGGACAACTATATAATATAGCTGCCATATAAACCGATCGGTAGATGTAGAGAAAATGTAAAGCTGGGAATGCAAAACTGTAACTGTCAAACTGTAAACTTAATAAGTATAGGTAAAATGTAATGAAATAATATCTGCAAGGGTATACAAACTTCGGCGTGCCGAAGTTAGCTTCCTTTCTTGTTTTTGCATGACTTGTAGTAGTTATATCGTAGAGTAGCACTAATTTTGCATGCGTTTTTATTTTTTATATTTTGTTTATTTATTTATTTATTTATATGGTTATATATTATTATTATAATTTCATTATTTTGCATGCGTTTTTATTTATTTATATATTTATAGTTTATTATATTTATATCATATTATATTTTGTACTCTCCTAATGTTTCCTCGTTCATTTCGTCTTTCCTTCTAATGCGTTTATCTAGTTCGCGATTCGTGCCGTACGTCACACGGCTGCGCCCCTCGGTCGGTTGGGCGGGAGGTGGAAGCGGGACCCCGCGCGAAAGGCGCTTAATTTTGGGAGGCAGTGCGATCCCGCTACCAAGCTCTAATGATCCCGAACGCTCTCTCTTTCTCTCCCTCTCCCTTCGGACTTCCAGTATATAGAGCTTTGACGTACATGTACTGTTGAAACATCATCAATCGATACGCATAAAAATTCATAGAGCTGATTGATAGTGGGAGCATTAAATTGTCTTGCATGACTACCAGTGGGTCTTTTGTCAGCGCTGATAATGATTTTGTGGTCGTCATAATGCATTATATCCAATGCGGTTTTGAACAATCTGACCAATTCATTATGCTCATGGAGAAGATTTTGCAATTGTTCGATAATTTTACGTTTTGTTGCAAGAAAAATTGAACAGCGGTGATTTAGTTCAACTGCCGAATCACCAATGAAATAGATCTGAAGGAATATATGATCTTTGGTTTATGGTGGAATCTGAATGTTGGGATGCAATTTCAAAAAAAATGTGAGTTGTTCATTTTGATAATAAAGAGACGCCATTATCTTATAACTTAGATTATAACCTGATTGATCAGCAACCTCGGCTCCAAATGAGGTCTGTTCAGTTTTGCTGCGTGTCCCACTGTGCGGGAGAGTGACGATCAGCCGATCGCTCGCTCGTCGCTGGACAGTGCATACGATGCGGGAAGAAGAGAATGGAAGAGAGGGGAAAAATCAGTCTGATTTTGCAAACGCCGCACAGTAGCGCCTTTTCTCATTTTACGTTGCAAAAATCATAACTTTTTAACAAAACAAGATAACTAAATAATTTAAACGCCATTTGACAGGTAATTGTTGTAAAATTAACATATGTATTGGAAAATCTGCCACGCCCACTCATTCGCCTTTTTAAAGGTTATCAAAGTGAAGAAATATTTTTTTCTCAATGAAGACAATTTTTAAAAAATATTTTTTATTTAATTTTTTATCTTTATTTTAATGTGTTTGCTTAAATAAAAATAATTTGAAAACTGAAAAAAAAAATTTTTTTCCAAGTTTAACCGCCACAGAACCGTGAGCGCTACAGTTAGTATTTTTTTGTTGGTTTGTATGAAATTGTGTCGGTATTTTGGTATATTTTACCCTGAGTTGTTTCAGTGTTTTGCTTCGCAATGCCAGAGTCGCAGCTGGACGCAGACTTTCTAAACGGATTCTGATTCAGGAAAGATACACGCAGTGCGTAGTCATAGTGTAGCTTCAGAAGTTATAGACTACTTTAGCCAAAAAAAGGTGAAAAAAATGGACACCTGGCAGGTAGTGATTTACCTGTACAAGCCCACACAAAACTACCGTTTTTTTTAATTTGAATAAGAGGTAATGAATATACCTGTCACTTAAAAAAAAAATCAATCAAATTATGTAGTTTTTGTGTAATATTACCTGAAAGTCGACTAATTTACCTATTTTTTGTTGTATGACGCATATGCGGAAAACAAATTCGACTTTGAATGTTCATATCTTCCTCAAAAAAAATCTGAAAATTTGTTTGGTTACAGATTCGGAATCCTTGGGAAATTCTCTGTCGATTTCTTATGGTTTAAGTCGATTTTGCGATTATGACTTTTTCGATTTTTGCAACGGCTTTTGTTCGAGAGGCGCTACTGTGCGCCGCTAAACGCACGCCGCCGGTCTGACGTCTGATCTATTGCGAATGCACACCCATCTATACATATATGTATATACATATAGTTTAAAGTAAAGCAGTGAATAATAATTATAACGTTGAAAATTGACCCGATTGGTGTTTGCTCTTGTCTGGGAACCCCTCCTACAATGACCTCTTGTTCGTGACACACATACAAGGGGACACAACTATACATGGTGGCCCATGAGGGGAACCTTGCAATTGTGAAAATTTAAATTCGATTTTACTGGGTGTAAATAGATTAAATAAATCGGGCCCAATCCCTTAAATCGACGCTGCTGAATTTTAAAAAGGATTCACAATCGAGGAAAACGAGAATTTATTTAAAGAAGCGGTTGCAACAAGTGGAAGAGCTAAGGAGCGCGTTCCAGGAGACTGATGCCGTGATCGTGAATCTAGAAGGGTTTGCGGAATCGAGCTATGCCGTAAAAAATTTCCAGTCGGAGTTCGAGGAGCGTTATATGGACTCCTATTGTGCCATCGCAGCGGATTTGGATAGACTTGGAGCCGAGACTCCTAAGCTGCAGCCACTGCCAAGTGGAGCCGCTGATCCGGAGGTGCGACTGAACATGCCACAGATGTCAGTTCCCAAGTTTTCCGGTGCGTGTGTGGACTGGCCAGGCTACTATGACGCCTTCACGAGCCTCATACATAACAACAATAATTTGAGTAACGTACAGCGGTTACATTTTCTGAAGGAATCGTTGCCGGTAGGGCGTGATAATGACATCCGTCAAATGCAGCTCACAGAGACGAACTACGCCGTGGCATGGGGAATGATGATTAAAAGGTACAACAATCCTCGTCTAGTTTTTTCCCACCACATGAACGCGATATACGCGTTGCCCAGGCTGCAAAAGGATAATACGGATTCAATACGGTCGATGCTGAGCACGGTCAATGTTTGCCTGGCTGCATTCCGCCGCGTCCAAGCCTTGGACGGGGAACGGCAGCACTGGTTGGCGCATTACATAGCAGCGAAGTTGCCCAAGGAGACCCACAACGCTTGGGAGCACCACCAAGGGAGCGGTGCCACCGTTCCAACTTATAAGGATTTAGAATCGTTTTTGAATGATCGGCTGGTCATAATGGATGCGATCGAGAACCGAAGCTCGTCGTACGACTCCAATAATGGCTCAGGATCTGTCGACCCAGGCAAGCGAGTGCAAGTGCATAGTGCACAGGAGCACACAAGGCGCCCGAATAGCTCCTGTTATCACTGTAGCGGTGACCATATCCTGCGTCGTTGTGCCGCCTTTTTGGCCTTGGACTGCTATAAGAGGAAGGACATAGTCAGCAGGGCGAAATTATGTATTAATTGCCTGAGTAAAGCACATGCGCTTTCCCGCTGTACCAGCAATAAGAGCTGCCAAATTTGTGGCCAGCGCCATCATACGCTGTTGCATTTCCCAGCATTGGCTCAGGACCGATCGTCAAGCCACACAGCGCTGCATCCAGTTCGGTCTGCCACGACGCATCCTGATGCAGCTGGGGAGACCGTACCTCAGCAGGGCCTACAGTCAACGTCGGGCCAGAATCCGGACGCATCTTACAGATGCTATTCAGCAACTTCGGCGAATGGGTCCTCCCGAAATGTGCTCCTCGCCCCTGCTCGTATTGCCGTACGAAACCCGGTCAACGGGCTACGAGCGGTCATAAATGCACTCATCGATCAAGGATCTGAGGCAACAATAGTTTCGGAGCACGTCGTACAGTCCCTGCATCTGAGAAGGTGCAATACCCGAGCATCGATTTTTGGGGTGGGCCCAGGGGGCGGTCGTCGTTGCAAGTATACAGTTAATTTCGAAGTTAATAGTATTATTAATCCCTATTTTTCTCTAGAGGTTGATTCAGCATATGTTCTCAATTCAGTTACTTCCTGTCTGCCTAGCCTTAGCTTCACGCCGCAGCGTTGGAATCATATTCGAGGGCTCCCTCTGGCAGATCCGAGCTACGCCCGGTCGAAGAGAGTCGATCTCATCTTAGGAGCGGACATGTTGGCGCAAATCATGCTGCCAGACACCAGGATTGGATTGCCCGGCGAGCCTATAGCGCAGAATACACGCTTCGGATGGATTCTATCGGGACGTGCCGAAGGAGTAAGAGAAGCAACACAATTGCGCTGTCATCGAGTGCTGCTGGACACGGAGGCATTGCTGAAGCGTTTTTGTGAAGTCGAGTCAGTTCCTGATTGCCCTATATCGACAGAGGGGGACCTCTGGTGCGAGTCGTTTTTTCAGGAGACCCACGTGCGTCGACCGGACGGCCGCTATGTGGTCAGGTTGCCTTTTAAAACCTATCTCGATCCGACCATGGTCTTGGGAAGGTCTGATCAGATGGCGCTTAATCGGTTTCTCCAGATGGAAAGGCGTCTGTCCAACAATCCAGACCGTTGGAGCAAATATGTAGATGAGATTGAGGAATACTTCGCGCTCGAGCAAATAGCGCCGGCAATGGGCAGTGAAAGCAGCACAGTGAGGAGTACGGCCGCGAACAGGCATGTAGCCTCTTGTGTACTTCCGCATCACGCTGTCTTTAAGAAGGAAATTCAGTCAACCAAACAGCGAATCGTCTTCGATGCCTCCTCAAGGACTAGCAATGGAAGATCTTTAAATGACATTTTTTGGACTGGGCCTACTCTTCAAAACGACATGTCTGCAGTCATTCTCAACTGGCGGAAATATCGTTTTGTTTTTACGGCAGATATACAGAAAATGTATCGGTGTATCGATGTTCACCCGGAAGACGCCCAATATCAGCGGATTTTATGGCGGATGGGTCCATCAACGTTTATGCGTTGACAACGCTAACCTTCGGAACGGCTTCGGCACCCTTCATGGTGATCAGAGTCATTCAACAATTAGCGAAGGATGAGCAGGGTTCGTTTCCTAAGGCGGAAGAAGTATTAAGGGACGAGATCTACGTGGACGACATTCTTTCCGGTGGGCCTACGATAGAAGATGCGGAGGATAAACGGGCCCACGTATCGGGTGCTATAAAATCCGCTTGCATGGAGTTGCGGAAATGGTCCAGCAACGAAGAGAGCCTTTTGCAATCGATTCCGCCAGAGCATCAATGCAGTCGGACACCTCTGAACTGGGACGCTGCGGATCCGATCAAGGCGTTAGGAATGTATTGGCTCCCCAATAAGGACTGCTTCAAATTTCAGGTCAATTTTGAGATACCACCTACTTTCACTAATAGGACGATCCTGTCGAGCATAGCGAGGCTGTTCGACCCGCTAGGTCGCGCCAGTCATCATCTCGGGAAAGTTAATATTGAAGGAGGTAACCATGGCTAAGAAAACGCAGGACAACGGCGCTATGACGGCTCTGGATTGGGACGACGAGGTTCCTAAGGCTCTTGCGGAAAGGTGGCAAGCATTTCGGGACGGCTTGCTGGGGATAGACGGCCTGAGCATACAGCGGTGGATTCATTATTCCCCAGGATCCATAGTATCAGCTCAGCTGCACGCGTTTTGTGACGGGTCTTCCACGTCCCTTGCAGCTACTACTTATCTAAGGCTCGAGCACGGGGATGGAGCGTGCTACGCCTCGCTGTTGGCCGCAAAATCAAAGGTTACCCCTACTAAACCCCTAACCATACCAAGAACGGAGCTGAGTGGTGCAGTGCTAGCCGTCAAGTTGGTGAAATGGCTTACAACGGCTAGGTGGCTAAATGACCTTCCCATCCAGACCTTTTATTGGACAGATGCCACGATTCTTCTTCATTGGCTGCACGGGGACGTCAATAGATGGAAGACGTTCGTTGCCAACAGGGTCGCCTTCATTCTGGACCACTCGTCGCCATCGCAATGGAGACATGTAGGTACTAGCGAGAATCCAGCGGACTGTGCGACAAGAGGGCTTCCTCCGAGCGAGCTAAAGGATTTTGATTTGTGGTGGCGAGGCCCGGAGTGGCTTACACGCAAGCAAGGTGACTGGCCTTCGACGGAGATCGGGCAGGTCGACATACACGATGCCGCGCTGGAGGCAAAGGCGGACAAGGTACGCGTTCACCTGGCAGTTCCGCAACCATCGTTGGTTGAGAGGTTTTCCAGTTTCAGCCAGGCCATAAGAGTCACAGCATTTATAATTCGGTTCAAAAGCAATGCTATTAGCAAAGGAGAGAGGTGTACCGGTCCCCTAAGCATTAAGGAGCTCGACTATGCTTTACTCGCCATCGTGCGCATTGTTCAAAGGGAGTCCTTCTCGTCTGAGCTGGCCGCATTGATGAATTCTAAACGGCTGCCCTCCAAAAGCAAGCTTCAGAGTTTGTCACCGATCGTGGTGGAGGGAATCTTACGAGTGAGGGGGCGATTGCGCCATTCGGGGCTATCATACGAACGTCGGCATCCAATAATCCTCCCAAGTTCTCATATTTTTACAGAGCTAGTAATACGGTACTCGCATACTTTGACTCTGCACGGAGGTGCGCAGCTGACCTTGGCCCACGCTCGCCAGCGGTTCTGGATACTGACGGGGAGGCAAGCAGTTCGAAGGGTGCTACGGAAGTGCGTGAGGTGCTTTCGCACCCGGCCAACCCCCTCGGCTCAGCTCATGGGAGACCTGCCGCTACACAGGGTCAACCCCCTAACCGACCGTTCCTGGCGACGGGAGTTGACTACACAGGCGCTATAGAGCTGAAGGCAGCGGGCTTGAGAGGAACCAGGTTCTACAAGGGATACATCGCCGTTTTCATTTGTCTGGCGACGAAGGCTGTACACTTGGAGGCAGTGACGGGTCTCACCACGGAGCATTTCTTACTGGCTTTAGACCGGTTCACCGGGCGGCGAGGGATGGTTCAACATCTATACAGTGACAACGGAACCAACTTTATCGGCGCGGATAATCTAATGAAGGCATTATTCGGAAGGCTGCAGGAGGATTACGAGAAGCTCATAGCCCCAAAGCTCGCTGCGCAGCGTGCCACTTGGCATTTTAGTCCACCTCAATCGCCCAACTTTGGCGGGCTGTGGGAGGCCAATGTGAAGTCGGTGAAGCACCACCTTAAGAGGGTCATCGCCGATCGACGGCTCACCTATGAGGAGTTATCTACGGTGCTCATAAGCATAGAAGCATGCCTCAACTCGCGGCCGCTGTGCCCTCTCACAGCCGATGCTGACGATCTAGAGGTGCTTACGCCGGCTCATTTTCTAATTGGAGACTCCATGTTGGCGCCTCCGGAGTATAAACCGCAGTCCAAGTCCTTCGCAGAGCAGTTTCTTATCCAGCAGTCAATGATTCGCCATTTCTGGAAGGCTTGGAGTCGAGACTGGCTGGCTCATCTGCAGCAGAGACCGAAGTGGTGTCATGAGGCTGAAGGTTTGCAGTTGAACGACCTTGTCATCATCAAGGATGACCGATTTCCGCCGTCACAATGGCTGTTAGGACGGGTCGTCGAGTTACACCCAGGGACGGATGCGTTAGTCCGGGTGGTAACCCTTAAAACCAAGCAAGGCCAATTAAAACGGTCAGTGTCGAAGCTGTGTCCACTGCCAATCCGTTCTTAAGCGCTCTCACGTACACCTCAATCATAATGAATTATTTCTTGCGCACACCGTTTGTCTCGTGTCTCCATTCTAGCTGCCCCGCCTACTACCCCCAGGATGGACTGGACACGCGGAGATGTCTAGGTCTAGCATTGGCGGGCGGCATGTTCAGTTTTGCTGCGTGTCCCACTGTGCGGGAGAGTGACGATCAGCCGATCGCTCGCTCGTCGCTGGACAGTGCATACGATGCGGGAAGAAGAGAATGGAAGAGAGGGGAAAAATCAGTCTGATTTTGCAAACGCCGCTAAACGCACGCCGCCAGTCTGACGTCTGATCTATTGCGAATGCACACCCATCTATACATATGTGTATATACATATAGTTTAAAGTAAAGCAGTGAATAATAATTATAACGTTGAAAATTGACCCGATTGGTGTTTGCTCTTGTCTGGGAACCCCTCCTACAATGACCTCTTGTTAGTGACACACATACAAGGGGACACAACTATACAAGGTCATTTGAAAGCATCCGTTATATTTTTGTGCAAGCTTTAGGAAACTGTTTTATTGGGCTGAATTTCCATATAGTAGCGAATACAATGGCTCTGGTGGATAAGCCGGGGGTTTCCAACCGAGACTTCAGGGCATTGCAATACTGACATACGTCAGACAATGAACCAATAACAACGCAGCTAAGATCTTTGTAGGGTGTTTCAGAATTGTGTGCGAATGCAGCGCGATTCAAGTCTTCATTTGCGGTTCGTCTTCCTGTATTATGCATGCATTTCTTTCTGTAAATTCCTCTTGCGTCCGACTATTACGAAAATTATGACTACTTATTGCATTGCTTGAACGCCGTCCAAGTCTTGATCGTCTAACAGCAGGCATTATTTCCAATTGTTTAAGCTCACTTTGGTAATGCTTCGTTAACTCGATTCTTTTGTTTCAATATTTTTCCCAAAATTTGCTTATGCTATAACCCTCTTCTGGCCATTACAAACAACTGAAAAAAAATTGAGACAAATCGGCCAAGCCGTTCTCTTGTGATGTGATTGCTAACATTTTTTGTCTCCACTTATATATATATATATATAGATAAGGGTTACAAATTATACAAAATTATGGGGGCAACATATTACATTTCTGGAGTTGAATTCCGCTAACATATATTACGAAGCACTTTTTAAATGAGATTGCATCAAAAAATTTGCATTTTATTTAGATTTTTTACATTTTTGTAGCATTTAAAATCTGCAGAATAAAGACGCGATTTAACAGCGATCGCTTCTCGTTGCATTAACAGCTAACTTTAACAGCGAATAACTTAACATAGCGCGTCAATGTTAAACTTTTCTGTATGTAACATTTCAGATTAATGTTATAAGAATACATTCCGGTTAAAAAAAGTATTTTAACAACTTTTAAAAAATGGGTTTATGCCAGAAAAGGTGGTCGTTCGCCCCATAGTGCGCTATTGCTGCCGGTCATACAGTTAGGTTTTGCAATTGATTCCACACTTCGGCAGCATAATAACTCTCGAATCCAATTTTAAGCGTGTGTTAGGCATAAATGCCTAAGCCACAGTGAAACTTTCAGTTTCGAATTTCTCTTCGTTCATTGTGTTCTGCATGCATTTATTTACAAAAACATATTCATACATATCACGCGTTGTCTGATTTGGTTATTTCCCTTACTATATTTTGTTTTTCCTCACTTAAGTTTTGTGAATACTGTAATGTGTAACGTCGGGCTGCGGTGCTGTGACTCCGAGAATCGATACTTGCGGGGGGCACGCTTTAGAATCCGGCCTTGCTCGTCGGCTTGGGGGTGTTGTTCTTTCTTGTATCGACTCCAGCAATGGCTACCCTTTTATTAATAAAAAGATCGAATTGAGCGACGACGGCGAAAGAAATGAGCAAAACAGAACCGGTGTAGAGAATAGAAAATCGCGGAGAAAAAATAAAAACAGAAGAGATGTCGAGATATTCAGGATGCGAACCCACGGCGTTTATTGTGGTCGCGACTCGCCCTCCCATCCTTTGATCACGCGCCTTAGAGCTGAGCTCTGGTGACCCCTTTGAAATTTCCTACGCACGCGCACACATCAGCAGAGTTCAGTTAAGTTCCAATTCAGAAATACATGGTTTTATTGCCCTTATTTATAGATTTTTCAATATTTAGTATTGCTTAAAAATATTAACAACGAGAGAGAGAAGGGTAACTTAAGCCTAGACATTTTAAATTGATCCAACTTAATATAATATGGAGATAAATTTTGTTCATTTTATAGGAATACTTCAATTTCTTTTCATTCACGGTTACTTTTAGACTAAATTGGCTAATGACTAGGAACCTTAAACAAACAAAAAATTCAATTAAATGGTATGAACTTCATTAAATTTCTTCAAGTGTGACGAGAATCTTAAGCATTTTTGGTTTACTGTAGACAATGGAATTAAGCTTTACTTTACTTTTATCAACCTCTCGAGAAATACGAATAAAAACTTTTACCAGTTGTTTATAACTCACTTAATGTTTCCTCCCGCGATGAAGATCGATCTTCCGAAGGGGTTATCTGTAAAGAAAATCAAGCGAGGCATCTTCTCGGCTTAAGGAGTCAAATTTTGAGGAAATCTCACTAGTAAATCTCGCTGGTGCAGTCGCATGTGCTTATCTTCCGTTTTCCTACAGCTCACTGACTTTCTGAGTTAAGCTCTAACCTTAAGCCAATTTTAACTAACTTTTACAATGAAATTTATAATTTAAATTAAATTCGGCCCTTTAGCCTTGATATTCAATACTGTAGATCAATTCCTATTAGACATCCTTTAAGGCTTCGGCTCAATAGCAATAATCTTCGAGATTGGCATGCCTAAGGCGTTGGCAGTCCTTGGAGAGGCAACAACGATCCTCCAAAAGCGCTAGGATCAGCGAGCGAAGAGTGAGCTTACAGAAGCAGGCCGTACGCCATGAGGACTAGCCTCTGAGTAGACTGAAGTGAGGTTATGGCACTGTGCCGAGGCTAACAAACGAAGGTTAACCCAAAAATCAATCACTTTTGACCTGCAAAGAGTTAAACATTAAACTCATTTCCCAGACTGTCTTGGCAATTGTTATTTTAGGCTTTGACTATCCACTTTTCACTCCGACTACGAGAGCTTCCGCCGCTGCTGCTCGCGAACAAACTTTGGCGATCACGCGGACTCGGGGCAAAACCCAGTCAAGGCGAGACGTTCTCCAAAGCACAAAGTTCCCTTTTTGAGTCGGGATTATTTGCTCCTTAAGCACACGCACGTCTAGCTGCCGGTCTGTCGCTCGAAAAATAGGCCGAGAAAAAAATTATGGCTGAAATTGGCCACTGACGTTTGACAGGAGTGGCGATTAGCAACTCTATTTGCTATCAGCTGAGTCTCGATAACTAACTACACTAGGTGGCAACGTTATCACGAACTCCCCTAGTTTTTTTATCGATCTCCGTTGGCGGGCAATTAAAATGTTCGCTTCAGGCCGTTACAATACACTTGTTGCTGGCTTGCATGCCTTGTGCGGCGGCCGATGTTCGAAGATCATTGGCTTTCCAATATGATCCCACTGCAAACTACAGTGATTATGAAAATTTAGATATTAGACATATGACGACTATATGCCGATATTGGAATGCGTTAAAGTTCAAAAGATTGATCAACACCCGAAGCGTTGATGATTCATCGATGAATCGCCATACAAATTATTGATGAATTTAACATGGGCATGTCATAGGCTGTCAACAGCAATTCATCAACATTTCATCATCATTTCATTGATGAACTGTTGATGAAAGGCTGATGAAATGTTGATGAATTGTTGATGAAATGTTGATGATTCATGGATGAACATTTCATCAGCCTTTCATCAACAATTCATCATCATTTCATCAACATTTCATCCACATTTCATCAACAATTCATCAACATTTCATGAACATTTGATCGATGAAATGATGATGATTCATCGATGAATTGTAGATGATTTTTTTTTCATATATAAAATTAAATTCTTGAAATTTTATTAATATTATTTATTCTTACTAATTCTATACCAACACTATAACACATAAATATAAACAATTAACATTAAAATTATATATTGAAAGGCCTCAAGGTCTGTTTGCTCCTCGGTTTTCCGGTTTTTATTGACGTAGGCCAAGCGTCATAAGATCGCGCGAAATTATGTCGTTTTAAAACGCCGAAATTATGGCGGCGGACTTATGTCGTTACCCCTTCACCTGCTGGGGTACAATCCGCTCTTATGACAAATTTGTAGGTATCCGATGGCATTCGTTTGCTGTTTTGAACATATTAACCACAGCATTATTAGCGTGAAAAAATGCTTGAACTTTTCAGTAATTTGTCTCTTTAACTGTTGTGCACCGCACATTCAGTTGATCCACCATCGACGAAATGAAATATATTTGCAGAAATAGATGCGGGTTATCTGGTGTTGGCACCATTGAACCATGCAAATTATATATTTGTCCTTGTATCTGTAATTGCAAACAATCATTTGTTGAAGAATCGTGTGATGGTGTAGTCCGCGGTGTATATGTTGTTATTATGTGTTGCAATTCTTTGTATTTGTGTAAGTGATTGTAACTTTTACCTTGCAAGTCGGCATGAGGCCTTCTCGAATGATATTAGCACCAAAGGAAGTCATGCGAAAGCAGTTATTGTATTTGTTTACGCCAGGAGGCCCCTGATCCCCCTCTGCCCACCGAGCGTCCAAAAGCTTAAGCGCTTCCAGCTTAGCAACGCTCGCCCGCTCTCCGCTCCTCGGTATTCCCGATCGCACGCTCCCGTGTTCCCGATCGTCGCTCGCTTCTAGGGATGGCTACGCCGCTCCCATTCCCGGTTCTCCCGCTCTCCCGCTCTCCCGCTCTCGCGCCGTTAAGCTGGGCTTCTCGGCCGGCAGCGGGCCCTTAGGCTAAGCTAAGTTTAGTTCCAATACGACTGTCAAGAAATGCATGCAAAGGGCGCTCCATGCCAACGTCATTTTTCGACCCCCTAATTTCTGGACTTTTTTCTGCGTTTATATTATTTTGCTTATTGTTTTAAATATTCTTTAATTAGTTTGTTAAACTGAGTTGCGCTCCTTATGGTTTTAAAAGAGTGTGGTAGGTTGTTCCATTGACGGATAGCGTTTATAAAAAATTGACGGTTTGAGCATAAAGTTTTGTATCTGGGGCATATCAAGTTATTCGTTCTAAGTGAATTTGCAAACACAAGTTTATCATACAAATACTTTGGTTCTTTCG